TTGCCAAAGGTAGATTTTCAACTTTGGTGCCGTTGTCCTTACCACGCCCTGCAGACAAGTGTACTCTTACAGATATGACGAAATACCATTTTAAGCAGTAAATGACTTTAAGTATATGGAAGCTTATTTCCAGCTCAGAATAAAAAAAACGAAAAAGGAAATTGCAAATTTTTTTCTAGCAATTGTGAGTTTCTATCTCACAGTTTGCTTACATCTCAACGATGCTGACTTTATTCTCCAAATCTACCTCTTTCATTCCTTGGGGGAAATAAGCTTCCATTGAAGTAAGTAAGTGAAGTTTATTGAAACCACTGGAGAATACAGAGTTAAAGAGAAACCCTGACAGCTTTTTATTCTTTAAGATCAGACCTCAGACTTTCTCTAGTAAAACATGACTGCTAAAAAAAAAAAGATCAATCTGAGTTAAATTAAACAATTGGAAATAGCAGCTAACTTAATTCTTGTGATGTGTGTACTGCTAGGCATATTTGGTTTTCTCTTTTTGTATAATTTAAATGGTAAATAATGGACAAGACCCCAGCTGCAAACACCAAGTTTGGAAGGTTTATTTTTTCACAAAACTCAAATACACCAAACTTTTGAACATATTCAGCACTTTAAACTCATTATTAAATACAATTGAAATATTATGTAGTTTCTAAGCACTATGGTCAAGATGCCTTCCATGATCTGTCTTTGATGGTGCAAGATCAAGCATACATTTAAATATATAAAAAACAAAAAGTAACCTAAACTACATATGTACTGACATGGTTAAGTATGGAAGGTTGTTTCTGCCACTGAATAAAAAAATACAAAAGGTAATTGTGACTTTTATCTCACAATGCAGACTTCTTTTCCCGCAATTGTAAGACATAAACTTGCAATTCTGAGAAGAATTTTGTCGCCCTCAAAATTGGACTTTATAACTCGCAATTGCAAGTTTAAATCTCACAATTCTGACTTAATTCACAATTGCATGAGAAAAAAAAAGTCACAATTTCGAGATTTTAACTCGCAATTCTGAGAAAAAAGTTGGAATTGCAAGAAAAAAAATCTGAATTGTGAGTTTTTATCTCACAATTCTGACTTAACTCGCAATTGCATGTTATAAAGTTGAAAAAGTCACCATTTCGAGATTTCAGTGGCGGAAATGGGCTTCCATAGTTTAGACTGGATAAATGTCTGGAGTTTCTCTGGAAACCGTTTAGTGCATTTGAAAAGATTTTCCCCTCTCGTTGATTAGTGAAGCAGAGGCCTGCAGGTGAGCTGATGGTAACTGACACCTAGTGGCTTAGTTGCTTTAACAAAACCTGTTTAGATCTTTTCTCGTCCAATGCAGGGGTCAGGAATCTCAAAGCCTCTGCTGTGCCTCTCTTTGCTCACCTCCTAACCAGGCGGTGCAGTTGGGTTTAGCGGGTGGGCTGTGGATACGGAAGCTCTTGGTAGCCAGAGCTAAGGTGTTGCTTTGCGGTTATATAAATTAAAAATAAATCATAAATAAATTCAGCTTTGGTTATATAAACAAACCAAACAAATTAGTGTTGTGTCGAAGTTTAGGCAACCAAAAATATTTAGCTGAAACCGTTTTGTAAGTGGCTGTGGATAAAAGCGTCTGCTAAAAGATTAAATGTTAATCACATGTTTCAACCGCAGAAAGACGTCAATAAACCAGCTTGAGATTAATAATGTCACATTTACCTCAGGAAAGACATTCAATGACCATAAACCTGATAGTCAGCTAGAAAAAATAACTCTAGGAGGAACATTATGATAAATATATGCACTCAATTACATTTGTTACTGAACTTTTTCTCTTCATTATTTAATGTATGTTTACACAAATCAAGTTTTTTTACAGCCACTGTTTCTATTTCAATAACAAATTATTAATTAGCAGATATAAAAATGGCCTTACGTGCAATTTAGATGTTTTTATACAACTCAGTTTTAACTTGAGTGTTGATTATAAAAATAAATGTGATAATTAATTGAATTTTCGGTTTCATTTTATGGCTAAATGAAAACTTTAAATTCGGAACATGAGATTTTTCAAAAGTACTTGTCACTAGAAAGACTTTCTGAATTTATCATCACGTCAAATAAAAACAAATGAAAGGAACTTTTCAGGAATAAAACTGCCGCCTGACGTCATAACAGAAGAAAAGCAGAAGGGTTTAATATGCCTAACAGTGGCGACAGCATGACGCTTCCTCATCCTTCGATAAAAACCGTGTGCAGGTCCACTGTGACCTTTATGACACCTCAGAACGCTTGATCAAGTGTTGTTTTAAAGTGAAGCTCAGTCTTCTGCTCCCGTTCATCCCGTTGGCTCAAGTTCCTCTTCAGTTGACAAACAGCTGGTCTGAAGATCTGATATTTTGTACCTTCACCAAAGTGTCCAGCAGCAGCGTGGCGATGGATTTCCCCTCATTATCCTGCTCGAACAACATCTCGGCTACAGAGTTTCTGCAAAACAGCAGAGCTTGTGGGTCAGATTAATAAACAAAACAAAACAAAAAAAGAACGTGTCATCTCATGAATCTCAGTTCAAACATGTGACCTTGAGGTATTCCAGTTGGGAAAAAGCAGATCATCACGTCTGGTTTGAAGGCTTTTACCTGATGGATCCCTTGACATGCAGAATCTTCTGCCAATCCAATGGATATTCCACATCTGGAGGAGGAGCCGGTCTCTGAAGGACCAATCAGAACCGAGTGTAAATATTTACTAATTCTACATCCGATCTTACAGAGTTAAACTTAAGCAGGACTGTCAAAGTTGTGTGATAAATAAATATTTAATTATGCTATTGGTAAAATGATGGGACATTTAACAAAAATCATCTGCAGTCTTTGGATATTCACCAAAATTCAACAAGTATAAAATATCACAGCTGAGCAAAGCACATCATCATTTTTGTGATCAACAGATAAAAGCATGTTACACACTGTGGGAAAATTTTTATATTATTTTATTATTGCAGATTTGCATTGTGTTCAGTGTATTTTGATTCAGATGAATTTAGATTCAGAAATACAGAATCTGTTTATTTTAGTCCTTTGATAATGTTTTTTATGCTGTTGAAGATTGTTGTGTTGAATAATGTATTTTAATTCTTTAACGGCATGGCAGCAGCGTCGTAATCAATAATAGTCGTACAGTTAACAAAAACTATATAAAACATTTATTTCTAAATTACACCACTAGTCAAATAGTGTTTTTGATAAATGTTTTTGCTCACCAAGGCTGCTTTTTTTTGATGAAAAATACAGGGAAAAAAGTATTATTGTGGAAAAAAATATTACAATTTAAAATATCTGTTTTCTATGTGAATGTCTGTTAAACTGTAATTTCTTTTATCATTCTATATGCTGATTTGCTACTCAATTATCAATTATTATTGTGAATATGTGTTTTTTCCCCCCTAATATTTATAGCAAAGAAATATCGGAGTCCATTAGCAGCTTTAATAGTGACATTATGAAGCGTGTTCTCTGACTTCAGCAGATCCGTCCATGTTAAATTTGGCCTCCTGGATCTTCATGCCCCTCTGCAGGTCACTAACGAAACACGTCCGCACTAAATACAGACACACCGACAACACAGTTAGTTGTCCAAGTCAACATGAAATGCTGTTTGCAACCCAATTTTCATTTTACAGATTAGTCAAGAGTAATGTAGAGCTAGACATGATTTTATGCATGAAGAAGCGTCTCTATATGACGTTCCTTTGATATCCTCCACAACTTCCTCTGGAATAGAGCCTGTGAAAAAGACCAATAGATAATCAAACACTAAGCAGTATCAACCCTATAAGCCTTCTGTATCATATTGATATATACATTTCTAAGGCTCTAAATGATCAAACTTCACTGAATCTCCTGCTGTCGTCTGATTGATAGTTTAGAGATTTTGATCCAGTCAAAGCTCTTTTAGTGTAATTATACAAACGTCCAGCTTCAGCTCGAGCTTCACGTGACAAATCTTGACTGATTTTGATCAAGTAAACGTCAGAATAACTGCAGTAATATTTCCAGATGAACACTTACTGGACTGAAGCAGCTCAGCTTTACTTGATTCTCCATCAATCATGTTTTAGAGTCTCAAATCTGATCCTCAGGATCTTTTGAGGAGCGTTTGTTTCCAGAAGCTTTACTTTCACTGTTCCTCAGCGGAGGAATGATCTTCACAAGCCTCCAGAACATCTCACCATCTTCTGTGGAGCGTTTATTTCTTCATCTCTCAATCACTGCATTATATGTTTGGATCATTTCAATCTCATTTTACTGAGACAGATTACTGGAGATACAGAGCGACGACTGATATTTATAGCATTTAATGTTAGTATCTGCTGTACTGTTATAAAGATCTCATTGATTTACAGCACAAACATCAGAATTTCATCATATAAATATCAGCATCTGCAGCAAATTCATATTCCTTTGAATGAAACTGAGCTGTTTTTCCTGCATATTCTCACTCTATCAGACTATATGAGCCATAAAAGCCTGATGCATCAAATATGATGCTCAACAAAACGTGTGATGTGATGGATGTATGTCGGTCTTACTGATGACGGTGGGCAGACTGAGGCCGGTGCTAGAGTCGGTGTCTAGTGTGCATTGCTCACTCAGCAGACTGTGCAGCTCCCTACAGAGGAACAAGAGCACTGAGAACACAAGCGTCATGATCCTACAGACTCTTTTCATGCAATACTCCACACAGACTTACCTATGAATGGCTTTTCCTCCCATCGGCAGAGCTTCCCATGCAGACAGGATCGGAACGCCTTCATAGATCTAGTGCACTGTTAAAGCCATCTAACCACTTCAAACCACAGATAATATTGTGTGTAAACACAACAAGTGCAGACAAACATGCTTTTCAATCACTTAGACGAGGAATATGAATTAAAGGAATAGTTCACCCAAAAATGAAATGTGCTCACCCGCTCACTGCAAGTGAATGGGTGCCGTCAGAATGTCCGGAGGAAGCGTTATTATGGATTATGGACTCGTATTTTAGTTAAAAACGTCTTAATGATGGATTTGTTTCAGCTTTTGTCTTCTCCAGATGTTAACTGATGGACTGGAGTGGTGTGGATTAGCGAACAAGACTAGTACCGGCTAGGTGTCGGTATGATTATGACCCAGTGTAAGCTCAGTTTCAGTACCCAGTGTCGGACCAGTACTGGCTAATGGCGCTTTTCCACTGCGTGGTACGACTCGGCTCGGCACGGCTCCGTCCGGCACG